TGCCACACAGAAGCTTTTTAGTTTGGTGTAGTCCCATGTGTTCATTTTTGCTTTTGTTTCACTTGCTTGAGGAGATGTGTTCAGGAAGAAATTACTCATGTTTATATTCAGGAGATTATTGCCTATGTTGTCTTCTGTTTTATGGTTTCATGACTTACATTCAGGTCTTTGATCCATTTTGAGTTTACTTTTGTGTATGGGGTTAAACAATAATCCAGTTTCATTCTCTTACATGTAGCTGTCCAATTTTGCCAACACCAGCTGTTGAAGAGGCTGTCATTTCCCCATTGTATGTCCATCGCTCTTTTATCATATATTGATTGACCGTATATGGTTGGGTTTATTTCTGGGCTCTCTAGTCTGTTCCATTGGTCTATAGTTCTATTCTTGTGCCAGTAGCAAATTGTCTTGATTACTGTGGCTTTGTAGTAGAGCTTGAAGTTGGGGAGAGTAATCCCTCCCAGCTTTATTTTTCCTTCACAGGATTGCTTTGGCTATTTGGGGTCTTTTGTGGTTCCATATGGATTTTATAATGATTTACTCTAGTTCATACAATGGAATATTTTTCAACAATAAAAAGAAATGAACTATCAAGTCACAAAAAGACATGATTGACTCTGAAATGCATATTGCTAAGTGAAAGAAGCCAGTCTGAAAGGGCTATATATTATGATCCCAAGTATATGACATTCTGGAGAAGAAAAAATTACAGAGATAGTAAAATGATCAGTGGTTGCCAGGGATATAGAAGAATGGAGGGAGAGACAAGGAGGTGGAACACATGGGATTTTAGGGCAGTGAAACTATTCTGTATGATCCTTTTATGGTGGACACATGACATTATGCATATCCCCAAACCCATATAACTGTACAACACAGAGTGACTCCTAATGAATACTATGAACTTAGTTAATAAGAATAATGTATTTTTGATAACTGGCTCAATTGTAATAATGTGCTATACTAATTCAAGAAATTAGTAATAGGAGACTTTTTTTTGGAGAAGGATATACAGGAACTCTCTGTACTTACTGTTTAGTATTGCAATAAGCCTAACACTTCTCTAAATATAAAGTCTTGTAATTAAAAAATACTCCAGGATATAAATCATACTTCTCAACCAAATCAAAGGCTTCAGGTATCATTATTTCATTTTAAAAAGTATTTTTCAGAAAATTTTAAAGAATCAAAGTTAAACAAAATGTCTATGAATGTTCTGAAGTTACAAATGTCAAGAAAGTAGCTACTAGAAAACTCTAGCTACTCCATGTGGTCTTCCTTAAATGCCTAATTGTTGGAACTCCCATATAGCTTTTTGTGACTCCTTTTGGGTGCTTATACTAAGTTATTATATTTTATCATTATTCATATATTTTTCTCCTTTAGCACACTGAAACTACAGGAAGGCAAGGCCCACATTTTAGTTTTATATTCCTAGCTGCCTAGCACTGTATCCTGTACCTGATAGTTACTCAACAAACATTTTCTCAATACATATTGCTATGGTCTGAATGTTTGTGTCCTTCCACTCCCCAAGTTCACATGTTGAATTTTAATGCCCAGGGTGATGGTATTTGGAGGTAAGGTCTTTAGGTGATTAGATCATAAGGGCTCATATGGCTGGGTGGCATTCATTTAGAGTTGAGAAAGTTTCTGAACCCTGCCCTAAAGTTCCAAGAAGTAATATAGAGGAGGTAGGGAAGACTAAAGTATAAAGGCATAGATTGTTCTAAAGTGCTTACATACCAAAACATGTCATCAGGTTGAGAAAAAAATAGGAACCCAAGAAATGAAAGGTATAACAAGCCATCTTTGCACACCAGTTATAAATCACATCTGCAATGCTACTCAAAAATAAACAATGTCCAAGTTTTAAAGACCTAGGAGTGTGATCATTTTTAAAGTGAGGACAGTACAGAAGCTGGAAAAACAGTGTTAGGAATGGTTAAATACTACTACTATGCTCTGTATTCCTAAACTTATTCTATGGTCTATCACCTGCCTAGTAAAAAGAAAACTGTTTTTCTATATGCTCTGAAAGGACAAGCAGGCACTCATCATAACATCTGGCAATTTCTTCCTTTTCCTGATCCAAAAGGAATAAAACTAACTTTTTTGAGGATGGATTTTTCTATATTCATCTCTGCTTACTCACAATTAGTTTACTGAGGTTAGTACAGCACTTTCCATTCTATAGGTGCCCAGTATTTGTTGACAGAAGAATCAAATATTAACCTTCTAAAAATAATTCAGTCCTTAAGGAAGTTACCTTTATCTAGATTTCATACCCTGATATTGACGTGTCACCAAGCAATAGAAATTTGTATTTTGAAGGTTTGGAATTCACTCTAAAATTAAAGTCTACTACAAATGTCATTATTTAAGACTCCTTCCTTTGATTACTTAATTAGTAATATTCTACCGTGCTCTCTTCAACTTAAAAGAAAGTCCAGAAAATAATCTGCCATTAACTTGTCAGCAAGGTACTTACATTCAACCAATAAAGGAGTAAAAGCCAATTTGCTAATTCTGCCTTATACAAGAGCTCCAAATAATCTTTATCCTTAAGTAATTTGTAGGTAAAAGATAGTTCAACAACCAGTACTGTGCTAAAAACGAATATGAAAATTAAAAAAATTTCAACAGTTGCTACCAAAATTAGATGCAATATTGTTCTCTCTGTTTGGCTTAAACAAACAGAATGAAGTATGGATTCTTGGTCTGTTGGTCAGTATCTTGGTTTAAATCCTCTCCTAGAGAAGGAGCTCATTGGAAGAGTATTCAGTAGAAACCATAGATGAGAAAGGAGACAAGAAAATAGATGGAGTCTGACTGAATTATTCTGGTTTTATTCTCCAATCACTCTTTCTCTGTTCTCACTACTGTTTACCTTACTTATCCGCAGGAACTGATTTATCACAGGGTCTGTCTGTAGTTGACTTCTATTTCTGTTCTTTACCTTGGTGGACTCACTAATCTGCATTGTTTCAACTATCGCCTCTTAATGTCTCTAGCCCTGGGCTCCTTCCTGAGCATGTCTGGCATTTTGCATCACCAGCTGAATATCTCTGCTTCGATGTTCCACTAGCACCTCAAATTTAACATACCCTAAATGAAAATTTTCATCTTCCCAAATGAGACCTCCTGACTTACTACCTACTTCTGTTGATGGCATTGTCACCCTCCTATCCTTGCCATTATCTTTGAATCTTATTCCTGTTTTACTTCTAATATCTGATCTGTTGCTAAGTCTTGTTGACTCTACTTCCCTTATCTCACAATATCTCTGGTATCTTTTCCCTCCATATTACCATTTCTACCACCACTCCAGGACAAACTGCTATTACTTCTCATCTAGACTATTACATTAACCTCATAACACGTTGGTAAATATTTGCTGAATCAATGTATGAAATCAAAATGAATGGTATCCCCACTTTAGGTCTTTCACCACCCTACTTTATCTTATACAACAGGGTCAGATTAACTTCCTAAAGTACAGCTCTAACCTTATTACTCTTCCACGCAACACAGTTTCTTACTTCCAACATAATTAATTAAATTTTTGTTTCACACTTAAGGTATTCTACCGTATGAGTTCTATCTGTTTTTCTAAGATTACTTCTAATTCCTCTGAAGCATTGTCCCCTCACTGGAGAAAAGCTGGACTACTCACTTCTCCACACATGAGGTATGTTCTCTCTCACCTTGTTCATGTTACTCCTATACCTGTAATGTCATCTAAGCCTATCTCAGACATCATCTCCTCTGTGAAACCTTTCTTGACTCCTCATCTTGGTGGCTATTTTCTTTGAAAGTCCCCAACACTTGACTGGTACTTCTTTTAAATCATTTATGACCTGATTTATGGAGGTAAAATAAAACTTGCCTTATCCTGTATGATTTGAGAAAAGAAATGTGGTTTATTTATATTTGAATACCCTATGTGGCCCAGAACAGTATTTCATATGACAAGTTCTCATTAAACATTTTTAGGGTAGGGAAAAGAAAGAGTAAATAACAGGGAACATATAATGTAGAGAAGAAATAAGTGATAAGACCTGGGTTGTAAACAATATATTAAACTTTACACATAAGAGTAGTAACCAAATTATAGCCAAACCTCTATACTTTTGGAGCAGACTTTCTTTTTTTTTTACCATATTTCTGATGGAAACATACCTTTATTTATTTTTATTTTAATATGTATGTTTAACTATGTTCCAAGTACTGTTCCAGGCCTTTTGTGTTAACTTATTTAATCCTTAGAACAATCCTATTTACCTTATTTTACAAATTGGGAAATTGAAGCACAGAGACCAAGGAATTTGCCCAAGGTTAAAAGATTAGAAAATAGCAGAACCCAGGAGATCTGACTTCAGAGACCATACATATACAACTATACATTATACCTAAAGATATAAACTTCACTGACTTTAAGATCTGAACAAATTCAAATTAAGGGTTTTTTCTTGAAAGATCATAATCATTATTTTAACTCTGCTGTATTAAAATGTGTTACAGTACAGTGAAAAACTGAGGAGGCTGCTAAAATGTAGAGGTCCCCTATACTGAATGGTACCAAAATGCCCAGCTTTTGTGGCTGGTTGTTTTTTTTTTTAGGTTTTCCTGTTTTTCCCCTTCATGTCACACTGCTGCTTACCACTTATGGCTATCAATGCACCTAAAATGTGTTCATCCTCTTCAGTTTAAATAAAAGCCACAAGGGCTCTGATGAGCTTATTTTATAAAGTTCCTTGTGGTTTGTTACAACCATTAATCCTGTACCTTACACTGATTTCAGGAGTGAATTCCATAAATAGAGGCTGCAAGAAGTCTGATCCACAAATAAACTGGGCATTACCACATGATTGCTGCTGATGGCATAAAAGAGTTATGTCTTTAAAGTTGACTTATACAGCCCAAGTTTCATTACTAGCAAGTGTCATAGTATTTCTTAATTATAGCAACAAACAATGTGTAATTTCTCCTTTTCTTACCTTTGCACCACCTAAAAATCCCAGGGAAATAGCAACCCTAGCTCGTAGATCTGGCCTGTCTTCGGGCCACACATAAGAAAGCATTGCTTTTATGATTTTCCGAGTATCAACATCTTTTAACTGTTGAAATAGAGAAAACAAAGCAGTGAATAACATTTCAAATACAACTATATTTCAATAAGGTAAAAATATGCAAATATTTGAGAAAAGTATGAAAACATTACAAGCATAATTTTTATTGAAAGTAAGGTCAGTGTCTTTTGAACTCAACTATTTTGGAGAAAAATAAACTATTTCAATTTCTTTTAAAGAATTACTAATTTGTCTTAATGTCTTATTTCCATCTATAGTTTTCTTCATATTGCCAAAAGTTACTCAGTAGAGGTGAGGGGACATGTGCTATACATTTCTTATTTATTAAGCCATCAAAACATTACATAAAATTTAAGAAACATTTCCATATTTTCATCTTTGTGGTAAAAATCTTCATATACCTTTGGGCTTTTATCAGTATGTTTATTTAAAATACTTTGGTGCTCTAAGTCCAAACTTATGATAGAACAGAGTTACAGTATAGTGTTTAGGAAAGTAGGGGTCTTGGCACTGACAACACAGAACAGAGGTTAGCTTATTAAAAATCTCAACAAAAATGTAATTTTTCAGTCATGCTTAATCTGACCTAAATCTATCTTACATTTTTCTTTCTCCCAAGTTCCCAAGGCAACTTTCCCATTAAATCCTTTTTAGTTTCAGGTTTTAAAGCCAGAATATTAAGAACCAAAACTACATTTTCTAAAGCCAGAATAAGAAGATATATATTCCCAAACTACTATATTTTTATAGTTATTGACATAATCCCCACTTTAAAAATTGAAGTATCTACTCAATTTCTAGAAAAGAAATTAAAAAGAAAAAACAAAAATGTTAATACTCGATGGTGAAGGTATATGAAAATGGACACTCTAATACACTGTAATGGGTAAGTATAGGGGAATCTCTCTGGAAAGCAATTTGACAGCTAACATAAGCTTTTAAAATAATTCTGCCCTTTGACTCAAGAATTCCATGTCTGGGAGCTCATGCTTTAAAAAATACTTAAGAATATGCTCCAAGTTGAATCAATTTTACTTCGTAAAAATCTCATTAATCTGTCTAGTTCCTTCTATTTCCACTACTAACCTCATTCAAGCTCTCATCATTTCTCACCTAAATCACTGCAACAACCTCCTAGCAGAGGTTGCATACACTGATTTCCTTGCACCCACTCTGCTAGCACCCTGTCCAATTAGTTCACCCTGCAATCAGATTATTACTCCCATCTTAAAATGCTTTAATGGCATCATATTGCTCATAAGATAAAGATCAATGATTATAACATGGCTTATGAGGCTCTGTGAGACTTAGCCCTCAACTACCCCTATAGCCAAGACTTTCCTATACCACTGCTTTCAGTGTTCATGTCACACTGGCTTTTTTTCAGTGCCCCAAATATGCTATAATCCCTCCTTCCACAAGGCCTTTGCACAATACTATTCACTCTTTCTGGAATAATATCTCTAATACCAATCCACCCCCAACTTCTTCCAACTAGTTAATTGTCAGCACAAGTAGCACTTCCTCAATGAGGTCTTCCCTAACCCTAGTTAGGATCCTTGGCTGTATTCTCTCACAGGACCATATTCCTTTCTTCCAGTATCCATTTCAGTGATAAATTACATATACAGAAGTGTGATTATTTGATTGACACCGGCTCTCCTGACAGAATTTAAATTCGATTTGAGTAGTAGTAACTTTGTGTTCACTGTTGTAACCAAATACTGAAAACAATGGCTGACATACAATAAATACTAAAGAAATATTTACTGAATAGAAGAATGAAAAATTTAGCTGTAAGGATGTTTATTCTCATGCTGTTAGTAGGAAAAAAAATTGGAAACAGCCTAAATTATTAACAGTGGAGAACAGTGTAAATGAATGACAGTGAATGCATAAAACAAAATACAGCCATTCAGAAATATATTCAATGGCACAGAAAACATGGTAAGTGAAAAAAGAAGAGTACAAAACTTGTATTTTTGTGGAAAAAAAAGTGTATGAGTTTACCACATGCATACAAATGTATCTGGAAAGCAATATCCCCAAAAAATGTTAACATTAGTAGCTGTGAGTAGATGAAATCATTGATGATTTTTTTACACTCTTCTTTTCGCTTGCTTGTATTTTCTGTAGTACACATATAATAAAAAAATTTAATTGATTTTGAGGGGGAGCAGTTACACAATTTCAAGTAGATTTGCATAGCAAGGAATGTGGGAAAGCCATTAACACATAAGAAACTCAGGACAACACATTATACTAAGTAGTTTTTAATATTATGTTTATTTCCCCCCAAGGCTCAGCAAACTATTTTTCAAGTCTTTTTAAGTCAGTTTATTGACTAAAGAATAACATAAATAAAACTGTTCATATTATAGCAAAAACAGGGCTACCTTCCTGAGCTGCTTTAAATACACTTAAGATGGCAAAAACATGAAATGCTGAAAATAAAGTTCTTAAGACTTTATTTTATACACATAGATATGCACACATGCTCTCATAACTGGTAAGGTACTTTAAAAAATGAACAAGGCTGTAATTTTAAACTTCACTTTCCTTCTCAAACTTTTACTAAATAAATATAATTTAATGCATTATAACACAAACTAGGTCATTTCAACCACTTCCCATTTTCACAAGTTTTGTCTGTCTTATTTTTCTTGATGGAATAATGGCACAAAGGCCCTGTTTCCACCTATGTTTAGAAATTCTCTCTCTTTTTCAAAACCTTCTGCAACACACTCCCAAATTTTTCATAAGGATACAGAGAAGTTATGGCTAAGAGCAAGAAAATTATTCTAGTTGGCTTAATAGTGCATAAAATGTCACCATTTCATTTAACAAAACGGGTTCTTAAGTTGTGTAATCACAGATTATGAGTCCATTAAGCTGTAAAGTATATGACTTCAGTTATAGTTTAGATAAACTGTAAAGTTTGAAAAATGTCTTTTTTTTTAAGTGAAAGCTAAGTCAAAGAGGCATTTCAGAGGCTAAGGCACATTTTTAAAGAATGTTAAACCAACATTCCCGCTGCACAAGAGTAAAATAAAATTGGAGGCCTCAATACAGACCTTGAAAAACAATATATCACCTATCAAAATCACCACAGTTAATTCATACTGGACACCCAGTGGTAATGGTGAAAGATAAAAGGGTTAACTAAAGATGAAAAGAGACCAGGCATAAGCTTGAGACTGAATTAGAAATCACCTTCACATCAACTAATCTTTTCATTTCAGACTAAGCAACCCAAGTAGCATATACACCCTTGTAAGATCACATTCTTACAAAAAGGGTGGGAAATGTAGGAAATGGTCAAGAAGGATGACTAAAAATTGGATTATTTGAAAATATTCTGTGTAAAGTGTAATTATAGTACAGTTTAGGGAAAAAAACAATGATTTAAGGAAAGTTCTTTCTCAAGGATCAAAATTCCTGAAGTGACCTAACCAATGGTTGATGTCATAATAGTTTTTCTTTAAATCTCACAAATAAACAGAAAATATGCAATTATTAAACTTTTTGGTTTAACATTTTCATAGTAAATAAAATTTAGAAGTTACTTTTAAAAACTGAGGTACATAACAATAAAATACACAAATCTTAGTGTACAGCTAAAACTTTGAAATGTATATACTTTCAAATAACCATTGCTCAGACCAAGATATCAAACATTCTTGCTAATTTTTCCCCCTTACCCTACTTCACCCATATTCCCACCCTTTTCCCCTATAGCAATCACCAGTCTGTTCTCTGTGCTTATGAGTTTATTACAGTTTTGTTTGTTCATTTGTTTTGTCTTTCTCTATCTGACTTATTTCACTTAGCACAATACCCTCTAGGTCCACCCATGTTGTCACACATTGCAAGGTAACATTCATTTTTATGCCCAGGTAATATTCTATTATATATATGTATCACATCTTTTGTATCCATTCATCTATTGATGGACATTTAGATTGTTTCCATATTTCAGTTGTCATAAATAAAACATGTTTAAAAATATCCTTTAAAAACATAACTGTGGAAAGATGGCGGCGTGAGTAGAGCAGAGGAAATCTCCTCCAAAAAAACACATAGAGCTATGAAAATATAACAAAGAAAAATCTTCCTAAAATAGAGACCACAGGACACAGGACAACATCCAGACCACATCCACACCTGCAAGAACCCAGTGCCTTGCGAAGGGGGTAAGATACAAGTCCCGGCCCGGCGGGACCCGAGTGCCCCTCCCCCCGGCTCCCGGTGGGTGGAAAGAAACCGGAGCGGTTTTTTTTTT